GACATCTTGGGCTAAGGATCAACCCAGATCCTTTTCATTTGTATATACCATGTTTCCCCAAAAATAAGACTGGGTCTTATATTAATTTTTGCTCCAAAAGACGCATTAAGGCTTATTTTCCAGTTAAGTCTTATTTTTGGGGAAATACAGTACTAAATGTGTCCATCTGGCTGACGATCTGGGGCTTAATTTTGCGGTATAACTTAATAACTGGGGCTTATATTACAAACACCTTGAAAAATGCTAGGGCTTATTTTCCAGTAAGGTCTTATTTTGGGGGAAACATGGTAGCTCAGACAGATCTGTTAAGCAAATGCCTTTTAAGTCTTGATACGGAAATGTGTAAGTTAATTGTGTAAAATGCTGTGCCATGCTAAACTGTCAATAACTTTTTCATTTTTGCCTATCTTAGCCTGTAATGGAATTGGTCTTTAGTTAAAAGAAAGACATTTTTTGCCTCAAAGAATGTTGAAAAGACAAATAGTATGAGTTTACGATTCCAGGAGAAAAATTTCAAAGGCACTTTGATGATACACTTTGAAAATGCTTAGTTTTGTCCAATAAACTATTAAACTTGTGGCTTAATAAATACACAGATATACAGAAGCATATAGAATAGCCATTTGAGAACTTTTCCCTTTCATAGTTGACCAGGGATGGTTCAGGGGTTCTTTCTTGAACAACCATCTCTAATCTTTGGAAAACAGAAAAGAGTCTTATACGAATATTAAGTAAAATCTGTGGCAGATTTTTTTTTGCATTTTGGGATTCTAAAGCACAAGTGATCGTGGCCTCCTTTTCAGATGAATAGGTACATATAATTACAATTTATGGACACAGTACTAATTTGTAAGTGTTGATTTGAAGGTGTATATCTGTTTGAGAGACTATATATGGCACAGCCCATTGTTTCAACAAATTGGTGGTTGATATGCTATAGTCCTTTTTTCCCCCCAATAGGATATGTGAAATTCAGGCAGTTGACTGTACTACAATTTCCTCCTTTACTGTGCGTGAATGTGAAGGATCCAGCAGAATGGGTTCAAGGCCACGGCGTTACCTCTTCACAGGGCACGTTAATGGCAGTATTCAGATGTGGGACCTAACTACAGCAATGGATATGGTTAATAAAAGTGAAGAAAAAGGTTAGTTGTCTTGAATGCAACAGTTTTCAATAGATCCCGGTTTTCTATTACTTAATTTTTTTGGTGGGGGGGGGAGTAGTGGTTGTGTCTTTCTTCCATATTTTTATTATTTTGTTTTGACACTTTGTACATTATTCTTAAATGCAAATATAAAGGAGAATATAATATTGCAAACTGTTTTTGAATTCGATAATTATTTGATCTCTATCTACCTACCTATCATCCATCCATCCATCCATCCATCCATCCATCCATCCATCCATCTATCATCTATATATATATCTTATGTAACCGTCCATCACAGAGGCAAGTGGCTCTGGGTGGCATAAAACAGTTATGCTACCAAGACAGTATACTAAACTCTTTAGTGCATATTAGGTACAAATGCTAAGTAAATTTGTTGTGGTTTCTTAATGTATATATGAATCTGTCTTCTGTCTCCAGATGTAGGTGGTCCTACTGAAGAAGAATTGCTTAAACTTCTGGATCAGTGTGATCTAAGCACCTCTCGCTGTGCAACCCCCAATATCAGTCCAGCTACTTCAGTAGTCCAGCAAAGCCGACTGCGTGAATCGGGCTCTAGGTAAGCTTTACAAATTATGTTTGCATATATGTGGATGGCAAGATTTAAGCTAGATGTTTCCTTGTATAAGACTTAATTTTATCATGCTGTTTACTTAAAAGTTAATACTCTAATATTTTGCAAACTGTGCAGAATAGATACTGTATAAAGAGTTCCTAGTGTGTGCCTGCGTGAATTATGTAATATACTTATCCATATAGTAGTGATCCCAACCAATAATGAATAATTTATGATTTTTGCATGAAAATAAAAATAATCCAAATATCTAGTTAGTAAATTTTGTTCAATTTGACATGCTCAATTTATTAATTTAATTACTTTAAAAACTTTAAATGTTTTCAGCCTCCAGTTACAGCACCGGGAAACAATCCACGAAACCGCTACATATGGCTCCATACGGCCATATAGGGAGAGCCCCTTACTAGCCAGAGCCCGCCGGACAGAAAGTTTTCACAGCTACAGGGAAATTCAGCCTTTTAATTTAAATAAAACCATGGTAGACAAAGCTGTTCCTCAGAATGGCAGCTGGAGTCCTGTACAGGCAGAAGGGAAAAAAATTGGTGAAAACATAACTGACAAAAAAGCTTCAGCCTTAGCACTTGAGATAAGAATGGCCAGAGTGTCAGATGGAGGAACTGAACTTCAGAAAGTGTCTGAAAGCATATTAGAATTGAAAAAAAGAGTAAACGATGAAGACAATGAAACCAAAGCAGACTGCAAAAGGAAGAGTGGATTTGAAGGAGGTGGTTTCCTTGGAAGAAAGAAAGGACCACATCTTGTGGTATCTTCACCAAACATTGTAGAAGGAAGTTCTGAAGTATTTGGTACAGCTTCCCCATCTCCTACAAAGACAGCAGTTTCTCCACGGCATAAGAAAAGTGACTCATCTTGCCAGGATTATACCTTATGAAAATACCTTGTGAAAATAAAAGACGTCTATATCCCACATGTATATTGAACGTTTCTCACTAAACTGGACGAATTTCACATTTACGTATCTAAATTTGTATCTTTCTAATTGAAGATGAGTTTGAGTTAGAATCAGGCAGGATAAGGAAACACATTCTAGACGAATCAGCCTTCCAATCCTGGTGTTTCGATAAATTGGATTTGAATTTCCATAATTCTGTTGAGCAAGCTGGCTCAAGTATGGGGAATTATGGGAGTTGAATCTAATTTCTCTGGAAGATCACCAGATGGAGAAAGCTGCTAAAAAACCCTGGCTTCATAGCACAATCAATGGAAGCATTTTTGAACTACTCAAAATTGGTGTGAACTTTCTATAACTGTCTATGTGAAGTCCAGTTCTGGTACAGACGTTTTCGAGCTTTGTTTAATACAGGCTGGCATGCACTACCATTTTTGTTGTAAAGTAACTGTTTCCTAATCTTGGTTACAAACATGCTACATATTTAAAGTTTATGGTCTATCTATAGAGCAATTCATACTTTCAGTGTGGTTTCCATGTTGAAAACAATAATGGGAAGAGTTAGGGTGCTTTATTTTATGTCTTGCTTTTTCTGCTGTGCCACCAGTTTTTATTAGTATTAATAAACTTTGTATATCATCTCACGCTTCAATGTGTTGACTTAACCAAATTGAAATTCTAAATGTCTTGTTACAGCTACTATAAAACATTACTTTGCAGATATTTATCAAATATTAAAATATAAAGTATAGTTATTCTGTACATTCCTTTTAATTACAATACCATCAGTGGATTAATTCTAGAAAGATGGACTACACTTTCCTATCAAGCCATTAGTAGTTGCTCTCATAAATGGTTTCTTGCATTTTATGAAGCTTCATGTTCCAGCTATTTGCAAGTGGAGCCTGCTATTATGAGATGTTGCATAAATTACTCCTACAAAATTTCTGTGTGGTCTGGTTTAGTCAGCAATCAGTGAGAGAGAAACCCCCTCAAGCATGCTATCATCTTCCACAGGAAAGGAGAACTTGAGTCACTTTCTTAACAACATATACTAATCTTTACAATAATTAACTGCAAGATTGATTGCAAATTACTTAATTATAGACCAAAGGTTTATAGAGAACTTCACTTAGACCATTGTATAGAATTAAGCTATCTGTTTAGGTCTGCACAGTTGAACTGGAATTTGTAGACTTAAGCTTCCCAATATTTCTAGGAGCAATACCTGAAAGTGTCTTGAAAGTGTCTTTTAATCCTTTGGCAAAGGCACAAGTAGTCTTGAGATTTCTTCTTGCTTTTTCTTTGCCCCTCGGTCCAGTCAAATTACATTAACTTACAGATTTCCTAGAAACCCTTAATGATACAGCCTTGAATGTCCTCAGTTGCATATGCTAAGGTTGGAAGAAAACCAGGATTCTACTGAGTCTTGCACAAATACAGTATAGGCCTCTTTGTGATGTTTTATTGTGCACTTTCAGAAATCACAAGCATATTTTTAAGTACGGTAGATAATTATTCCCTTTCTTGCAATATAAAAAAGAGGGCAAGAATTGAAAGATGATATCCCAAAGCCAGGTTTATATTTGATCCTTCAATATTATTTGTTGAGTATTTAGACGTAGATTTTATATCAATGCAACAGCACTACCATAGAATAAAATATACAAAACTATACGCCTGCCCTGGTATAAGATTTAAATCTGATAATAGAGACACTGCAGGGTCTATTCAGTTATATTTGAGTCCCCTCCCTGCCCTCAACATGTATAAGCATGGCAACTCTTGAATGCTTCTTTTAAAAAAAAAAAAAAAAAATCTTCCATAGTAAGTGTGATGGGTGCAGCTGTCACTCTCTCCAAATGACTTCACAATTAAGAATAAAAACCCATCACTTTAATGTGAATTATACAATGCATCATAAGGATTTAAAATTTCCAGGCATTTTAAATTCTACTCTGTGTGACTACTGTTGGTTTTTCTTAAAATGAACACTTGTCATTTGAATTTTATATGTTCTACTGTACTGTTTACCATCTTGCTTGGTTACGCTTGGCTTATATCAAAACCGCTTTCATAATTTTTTTTGAAAATAGTTAAATAGTTGTTTGACAACTGAAAGGGACATCAGGACTGATTCACCTTGTTTAGTCAAAGGTAAGTGATTTTATGCTTCAGATACTTTATATGTTCCTAAAGATGCAAGTTATTTTCTTACGAAACAGAAAAAGTAAGGCTGCTGTGCACGAATGTTTATTCACAACCATGTGCTAACAGCATTCGGCTATCTATTGTAAAACAAATAATACAATTGATCAGTATAAAGGAGACACAATAAAACAAATGAAAATCATTTTTTTAATTTGAGACAATATCCTGCAGCTTGACAATACATTACATTTCTGATCGCGAAGGAGCAATTTTGATATGAACTATTAAAAAGAATAATGATTCACCCAGTTGAAATTCTGTACAGATAGTCCTCAACTTACGACCACAATTGAGCCCAAACTTTATGTTATTAAGTGAGAATTTTTTAAAGTGAGTTTTGCCCCAGTTTATCTCTTCTTGCCACGTTTGTTAAGTGAATCACTGCAGTTGTTAAATTAGTGACATCGTCATTAAGTGAATCTGGCTTCCCCAAAGACTTTGCTTGTCAGAAGGTTGCAAGAAGTGATCACACAACTGTCATAAATACGAGTCAGTTACCAAGTGTCTGAATTTTGATCACGTGACCTTGGGGATGCTGCAACGGTCGTAAGTGTGAAAAATGGTCATAAATCCCTTTTTTCAGTGCCATTGTAACTGAACGGTCACTAAACCAACCCTTGTAAGTTGAGGACTACCTGTATTAACAGCCTGATAGGTATATCTTATGCTGCACAGGTTTGTCTCTGGTGCCCTTAGAACAGAAAGACCTAGTTATATTCTGAGCACTTGCAGAAATCTTATTCCTCACAACTCTGGTTTTTATAGTTTGGAGTGCTGTTAATTCAAATTTGTCAGCCTTTTTCCTATTAGGGCACCAAAAGCTTTACAGTTGCTTTGTCTTCTGAAGTACATATTTACCACCACAGTGGTCTGCTTCTGAACTTGCCAGGCCTGAAATGTTAATATATTTGCCACAGAAGCAGAACTACATATGTGCCATGGCCATAGTAGTTAATATGGGACTAATAGGTATATTTCCGCTTATCACGCTTACAAATGCCGTAATTTTTATTACAAAGTATAGCATTTGACATTGGATCATGTGAGTATCAGAATTAGCAGAACAATAAAGAATATCAGCTACAGCCAGCAGAAAAACATTCAGTTAAGCTAATTACTGACACAAAGCAAGTATTTTCCCACACTAGCATATTTTGCTAAGTAAGCATGGAAAAGTCAAGATAGAATAGCTATACATTTACATTTTGGTTACTTTCCCCCTATCTATAACTAATAAATTATTTGAAAGATTTCACTGTATGGCTGTATGGCCAAAGGAAACTAATTGAAGCATAGTATCATAATAAAGTATAATTAAGCATTTCTTCTATGTACTCTTGTTGTTTTAACAAGATTGTTGGTTATCTTAATTTCTCATTAATTAAAGGTTTTCAGTAATAAATTTTTGTGAAGAGTTCAATATTGTTCCCTAATTTCCTGCCTATGCTAAATTTGTGTGTATGACCATTTCACCATTTTATCCAATCAGTTCCTGCAATGAGCTGAATAAAGGTTTGTGTAGCACTATTGATTTGACAAAAAATGCATTAAAAAATTAATACTATGTACCTCTCAAATAAATATATTTGCTCTAGACAATGTATTACTATAAAGGAAGCTTCTAAGTTTTGATAAAAAGAAAATAGCTTTCACATACTTACAGTACAAGGTGTAATTCATAAACACTAGAAAAATTTCAGGAAAAGCATTACTTCATAATAACTACAAAGAGAAATATTCAAGACTTCCCTTGTTATCTATTCTGTGGCAACAGTACTAAATAACTTACAAGTGTGTATCAGAAAATGTTGTATGTGGTTTGGTGACAGTACTGAAACTTTTGATAGTGCTCACAAGATCATCATCATCCGCACACTAAAATAAAGCAATTTTAAGAAGATAAGCGTTAGAGAATAAAGACATTGAGATCTCATTCAGACTATTTTTAAAATCAATAAAGTTTTTATTGTTGGTTAATCCTATAATTTAGTTAAGTAAAAGACCATCCTGACCCAGTGAAATTCACTGTTTGCCCCCTCTAAATATCAAAAATTTCAAAAAATATGCAAACACTGAATACAGTTGTTGTTGTTATTAGTCTTTTAATGACTCCATAATCCCTTGCATAGGGGTGGAGTCAGGGCAACTGAATGGAACTGAGTGTTTACTGGCCGGATGCCCTTCCTGTCGCCAATGCAGAATTTGCAGCAGATATTTACTCATTGTGCCCAGAGAGAGAAATATCTGCCACTACCTAGGATTGAACTCACAGCCTCCTGAGGCAAGAGCTCCACCTCTAGACCACTGCACCACTCTGAATGCAGCTATGAGCTCTTAAAATCAAAGTGGTTATTTAATTTGCTTTCCCCAAATTTGCACTCTCTTTGTAGTTGCCATTTGGGACTTTACATCCCTGGCTGAGAAAACCATCGTACAGGATAGGGCAGGGATGGGCAACTGTGGCTCTTTTGCAACCTGTGGACTTCAACTCCCAGAATTCCTGAGCCAGCTTGGCTGTCTCAGGAATTCTGGGAGTTGAAGTCCACAGGTCATAAAGGGGCCATATTTGCCCACCCCTGGGATAGGGGATAATATTTATCACAAGCAAGGTTGTGGGTGAAGGTCCAAAGCCCAATAGGTTTTGCAGATAAAACAGTTAAAATTAAATGGACATAACATATATGCTTATATAATTTTATATAGCATTAGGATAATATTGCTTCACTCTAAGGGACATTTTATTTATTTAAAAGATTTGTATACCCATCTTAGAGCACAACTCAACATGCATTGCTAAATGTGCATATGCTGCCTATTTTATTAGTAGGAGAAGAAACATTTTTTCCCACAGATTGCTTTTCTAAACCTATTATGGACTGCAGCTTGCACAGTTTCTGGTCAGTGATTGTGCTTGCCTGCCTCAAAGTAGTAAAGTTCAGAATATCTGGAAAGCACTGGATGACTTAGCGCATTTGCACAATTAATATTAATACCCACAAAGGCCATTGGTCTTGTTTTACCATTTGGTTACTCAGCATGATTGACATTTGCTACAAAGATTGTGCGATTATGGTATGTCAGTATTTGAAGCTAATCAGTTGTCTTTGTAAATTGACTTACCAAATTGCTGTCATGGCCATGAATAATGGCATCCCAAACAGTGTCTTCTACCGAGGACTTTTTCTCAGATGCTTCAATAAGCTGACTGACACTTCGATGCAGGGAATCTTGAGAAAACCTATCTTCTATCTGGCTTTGGCTTGGCCCCTGAAGGACAGAAATGTTTCTACTGCTGTGCATACTCAAAGGCGATGCTGGTCCTGGAATTTTTGTATCTGACAGTCCCTAGGAATAGAAGCGAACAAACAATTGTTTTTTTAACTTTAAAGAACCAAGGTATCCTCATATTGCACCTTCCCCTAAGGACTCTTCCTTATTGTAGACAAGGGGTGTCAAACTCTATTTCATTGAGGGCTGCATCACGGTTGCGTTTTGACTTCAGGGGCTGGGGTGGGTGTGGCCAGGGTGGCCATGGCTAGCTTGACGTCACTCATGTCAGGGGCATCTGTAGCGGCCCGAGTGCTCTGCCAGCGAAAAAGGAGTCCCAAGCTCTGTTTTAGGCCATGTCACCCTCTGCCAGCGAAAATGGAGCTTGGGGTGGGGTGGGAGAGCACGTGCGGCCCTCACAGGCTCTGTTTTCAGCCGTGATGGCCTCCTGCCGCTCCCTGCCAGCAAAAATGGAGCTCAGGGGTTTGTATGTGCAGCCCTCCAAGCTCCATTTTCGCTGGCAGAGGGCGGCAGGAGGCTGTTGTGGCTATCTGGCAGGGGCACTGTAGGCCAGATCTAAGCAGCCCCATGGGCCAGATCCAGCCCACAGGCCTTGGGTTTGACACCCTTGTTGTAGACCATTCTTAATTGATGACAGTATAGGTAGGCTATATTATTTATTTATTTTTATTTATTTTATTCAATTTGTATACCGCCCTTCTCCTAGTGGACTCAGGGCGGTGCACAGCCAGAACTAAAACACATACCAATACAAAATTTAAAATTATTAAAAGAATTACAATTATTATTCCAGCAGAGTTTAAAAATGCAATTATGTACATAAATTATCCCTTCAGCTATTATTCCCCAAGGGAACTGCAGTCTTCTGCAATGTAGCTTCACAAGTTTGATTTCAGCATGCAAGCAACATATCACCAGCACAATTGCACAACCCTCTTAGCCTGCAACACTGATAAGTTTAACTATCTGCTCACAGATTACCAATGCTTTGTGCTTTAAGAGTTATATTATGAAGGCTGGCATATCAGCTTAATTTTCAGCAGTCAAAGATTGCATTGCTCATTTATTACAGAACATAAAACTGAAGAGTTCATTTTCCCAGCTACTTCTTTCCCCCTGCGGCCAAAATTATACTCAAAATCATATCAACCTAATTTCAGGTCCAAAATGCCACACAGCAACAAATAAAGCCCCACACAAGGTATTATCATGCCAAAAATTCAAGACTCTCAATGTTTGCAAACTTGCTCCACCCAATAGAGTTCACTACCTCCAAGTGCATTGTGTAGCTTTTGAGTGTGACGCTACAGGAGGACTCCGATGTATCGGCCACCCTCTCAAACTGAGATTTAAAAGGGAAGAAAAGTGTTACTTGTTTAATCATTCAGGCGCTAAAACAATTTTTCTCTTGTAGGTTAGGCATCAACAAAGGCTTATACTGAGTAATCCAGAAGGTCAGTGAGAAGGAGGCTCATAAAATTCCAATATCTTCACATAAAGTGATTCTGATCTGCAGTGTCTTATTGCTCCATTATGCAGTCTCCCCCCCCCTACACCCACCTACCCCCCAAAATAAGATGTAAAAGAAAGGAAAGCTGTTAGCAGTAAAGGCTTATGGTGACTGAAAGCCAATTTGTTTTCACCGACAAATTTGCCTAGCATTTGTATGGGACTGCAGTGGTCGTGTTCCGAATTCAACGCAATAATTGAGTTAGATGTAAAAGCAGCACTGACAATTATCAGCACTGTATGCTGTGTGACCTTGAAAAGGATAATAAAACTGAGCTACTCTTTCAATCTAATGGGGAGGGGGCACAGAGAGCAAGAGAAAGAGAGACTTCCTGGCAGTTAGAAAGGTATCTTTCTCAAATGTTTATGCAGACATATGCATTGCAAAGGCTTACCTTATCGGAGCTTGGTGATACTTGTGAAGATGAGATAACAGGGACTTGTAAAGAAGTAGCAATAGGAGGCTGGTGTTGTGAATTATCAGGGAAAGAGGGAAACATCATAGGTATAGGAAATAAAGGGGGGGAAAGTGAAGGCAGGTAGAGAAAGTGTGAAGTTAGAAGGCAGAACAAGGAGAGCACTTCAGATCTTCTAAAGCAGAAGACAAAACCACCACCACCACACCAGAAAAGCTGAGGGGATGAGAAAGTGAAACATTTTCGAAATATAAATGTTTCCCAATTATTGACTGCCTTAGAGAAGAAATTAGACAGTGGATTATGCTGAAAGTATATAGCAATTTTTGACAAATAGGTTGGCTTAGATGTACATCCACAAATTCTATGTCTAGCATATGTCGGCGTATAGTGATGGCCACATGACCATGGAAATGTGTTTGGACAATGCTGGCTCCCTTTGCTAAGAAATGAAGATGAACATCGCCCACTAGAGTCAGACACAACTGGAAAGGGGATATGTTAATCGGGGTGAAATCCAGCAGGTTCTGACAGGTTCTGGAGAACCGGTAGTGAAATTTTGAGCAGTTCAGAGAACCGGTAGCAGAAATTTTGAGCAGTTTGGAGAACCAGCAAATACCACCTCTGGCTGGCCCCAGAGTGGGGTGGGAATGGAGATTTTGCAATATCCTTCCCCCAGGAGTGGGAAGGGAATGGGGATTTTGCAGTATCCTTCCCCTGCCACGCCCACCAAGCCACACCATGCCCACCAAGCCACGCCCACAGAACCGGTAGTAAAAAAATTTGGATTTCACCACTGATGTTAACCTTTACCTTTATATACTAGAGTGGCTAAGTTTTGGGAAAAAACATAGCTGGAAGGGAGCACCCGTGGACAGATACAATAGAAGTAGACACTTTGTACAAACACAGTCCAAGAGAGTCTCTTCTGATATGGTCACAACCTACTGGATAGCATCTGTACACACAGTTTAAAATATTGTTTTATCTTACCCTGTCATTAGTGACAAATAGTCTTTTGTTGCTGGTTTTTATGAAATTGGAGGAAGGAAGCATAAGGACTGGGATTAAAACCATAGGTGTTTGAGACAACCTTCTGATTCTGTCCTTCCCCTGTAATATAGACCAGCAATAGTTAAATATCTGAGTTAGAGAAACTTCTGCTTCTTGCTTGGTTAAAGTTTGTTAGAGCATTGCCAGTCCAGCACAAAGAGATTTTTTTAAAAAAAATTCTTTGTGTTTAATTGAGTATAGCTTTAGGGTTCCAAAATAATGCCTGGGGAACTGAAATGCTAAATTACAAATAACCTGTTCTCATTATTACGCTCCCAAAGGCCCATGATTTTATCATCATCATCACCAATTTCTTAAGGGCTGTAGATATTTTATTTTTAATGGTGGTTGTACTTTTAATTCAACTTATCTTTTTAATAGATTTAAGTGCTTTTTTATGAAGAAAAGAGAGATAAAAATATTCTAATTAATAAACAAAAAGCATCCAAGTTTCTTCCTAAATTGTGTATTAATTTTCCTATCTCCTGAAGAGAGCTTTGGAAAGTGAGCCAGGGCTGTGTCCATAATCTGGCTGCCAATAAACACTTATCACCTGTTGAGAAATACATTTTATGCATGAGGACGGAGAAGCTCTTCCACAGGAAAGGGTACCTTGATTGTCATAATATCTGTGTTAATAACTTTCTTGCTTAAAACCCTAATTTTCTTCACCTTGGCTATCAGCCTTGAAAGTGGGAATAGAAGACCTGAGATGTGATAGGAAAAACAGGCTCTGGCTTATGTATGCCTCTGTAAAAGGTAAAGGTTTCTCCTTTCCAGATGTGTCCGATTCTAGAGGGCGATGCTCATCTCTGTTTTTTAGCCGAGAGAGCCAGCATTGTCCGAAGATGATTTCCATCATCATGGTCAGCATGACTATATGCCAAAGCACAAAGAACGCTGCTACCTTCCCACCAACGTGGTACCTAGTTATCTACTCTCATTTGCATGTTTTCGAACTGCTAGGTGGGCAGGAGCTGGGGCAAGAAGGGGAACTCGTTCTATCGCATGGCATTCGAACCTGGACAGTCAGTTTTCCACCTGACAAACTCAGTGTCTTTAATCGCTGAACCGTTGCGCTTCCCCCTCCCCCTTATGTCTCTTTACATTGGACATCTTATAGTGCTGTATGAAGATGTATTACTTGTGACTTTTCACATACCTTTCAAAACAAACTCTACAACGTTTGGTGCTGCTGATATCTGGTTTCATTATTATGTGACAAGTCATAAAGTTAATGAGCAAAGAAGCCTGTTTCCAAAGCTCAGATTTTTTTAAGAAACCTTAGTAAAACTGTTCAAAGAAATCCCAAACCAGCCTTTAAGATCACACCTGAGTCATCGTAGAAATATTACTGAAAGCAGCAGGTCCAGGCTGCTTGGGACTATTCCTGGAATGCAAATATTTCCCTTTAAGATATCCATTTGGGGCCCAAACTTGGAAATGCTTGAGGAGTAGTCTTAACTGTCTACTGGCAAGCCCTAGTTGTTTCAATAAAAATGATTGACTTGCTAAACTCCTTAAAATGCTTTTAATATAGGCACAAGCTGTGAAAATGAAACATTTACCTGCACATTGCATTTCCTCACCTCACATTTTAAGGGAAACACATAATTAAGTTGTGCCTTCTGGTGCATTATGGCAAGAGAGAGGGCAATACAGACCATCTATTTCTGGCAGCATAATGCTTTAAGCATGTGTTTTTTAACCTGCTCAACTGCTGGAATAAAGAAACTTTTAACTTGGACAGCCTTATTTTTTCTTTGGTAAATAAATAAATCACATTTTTTTCTCCTTTGCTGTGGAAGTGATATGTCGGAAATGATTCCACAGTCGTAATGGGGTTTAAGAGCCACTGCTATATTAGCAGCAGTAGTTTGCCCTTAGTTGTTGTCTTTTAAAGGGTATTTTAGATGTCTTTCAAATACGGATGTGATTTATGTGGTGTTGGTTTTATGTGGTGTCTATGGGTGTATCCACGTTGGCTTACAAATCCCCCCTCAACTCTAGTACAGGGCACCTCTTCACAGGAAATCCATTTGCAAAACATAGGCAGAGCACCATACCATGTGAGTTTCTCCTTGTGAATAGACATTCATTGGTGACATTCTCTTTTGAATGGAGACTAAAGGAGGCCTTTCCCGTGAATACAGCTGCTTGTTTATTTTCCTTTGTAGAATTAGAGACAGGAAAATTGCTAGGAGGATCAAGGCAAGGATCGCCATTAGTATCACAAACCACAACTCTGTGTAGAACATTGCTTGCTTTGTGTTGTCTTTGTTATTTTCTCCTGGAGTTGTCAAGACAGGACCTATGGAATCCAGAAAAAGAATTGGTGGCAAGCAAGGGATAGACAGAGGGGTGAGGGAGAGAAGCAGGAGGAAATTAATAACTGAAATCTGTTATTTCAGAAAGAAAATATGTGATTCAGTTGTTCTCTGTTAGTTTTGCAATTTGTCGGTACTTCATCACACCCTTCTCATTTTCAAGGTGCTGCAGTGCCTAAATATGTGAATGGTCAGCGATGCAAAGCACTTTTCAACTTGCAGACTCTGCTTTTAGTGTTGGCATTGCTGTTTCCAATGGGAACCAGCCTCTACACTGGGAAGAAGTGATAGACTGTGTGTGTGTTGAAATTAAGGCAGCACAGCTGAAATTGGGTGGTGAGTTTATACTTTTAGGTCTAGGCATGTTGCAAAAAGCTTTCCTGTGCTCGTGCCAAAGAAATTAGAGTGACAATGCCCACTGCAGTTCTTATGATGGTATTAAAAAATTAAAAATAAAACAAGGGTGTTTGGGAATAAATGAGGCAAGATTTAAAAAGGATTTCATTGTTCTTGTTTTTCAGCAGAGAATATATATTTGCAAACATATCTGGATAAATGTCAGACAATTCGATCATGCACGCCTGAAGCAATAGCTTGTGAATTTTGAAGGAATATATGTATCAGTGAAATAATAGCATGGAAGCATGCCAAGGCAGTAAACCAGCTAAGCCACTCACTCACCAAATGAATGAATAAATGAATGCTAATCTGTCTTTTCCCTTTTCATTAATTGTCTCCTCTATTGTTTTCGGCTTAAGGTAATGTCTTGGCTGTGTGCACACTTCATTCTTGCAGACAAGACAGCAACGATGTTAACGCATAAACATTTTTGTATTATAAATAACAGCTACCCAGAAGCACGAACAGAGATGTACCAAAAAGAGTTTGATACTCTCTCACTCACTGTCATGGCCAAAACAAGTTACTTCTGCAAAGTGTGCTAGTTGCATTCAAATGGAAGTTTCCCTTCAAATGCAAATAAGCAGCCTTAGATTGGCGATTTTTGTCAAATTGAGGCATAAAATTAAAAAATAAAATTATTTCTACAAAAAAAATAACAATGTGTTCATTTATTTGTACTGATCCATGTTGTGTTTGATTTGTGTACAGCAAATATTAAAACTGAAGAGAACTGTTAGTATAAGGGGATACAATTGAGATATCTGCTCTTGATTCATACTTTTATCATCTTATGCTTGATAAAAAGAACGGTATTATAAAAGAACCAATGCACTAAAGATACTTTGCATATTTTATAATGCATAGATGCAATTAAGAGAATAAAACATTTATTCTATAGACTAAGTGCTTCATACTTGCAGCTAATAATTATAGCACAACTTCCAGACACAATGATGAGCAATTTTTTTAAAGTAGTTACCAAATCCAGTAGCAGCATTGTACTTGATTACTGGTGTTACAGCACTCCCTTCATCAGTGATGCAAGTCACCTGAAACAAATAAACTGAAAAGAAATTAAGAATTAAAAATGAGCATTATATAAACTTTTTATATTATCATTTCATTTGCATGTCTATCCTTTTTGTCTTGGAAGGCATAATATGCATTGATATTCTCCCCCCATACTTGGAAAGTTTGCAAATGATAGTTCTATCCTTTAATGGGATGCAAAAGTCCAGATAGCCACAAGACAGCAGCAAATTAGAGGACTGGAGGCTAAAACATATGAAGAACGGTTGCAGGAACTGGGTATGTCTAGTTTAATGAAAAGAAGGACTAGGGGAGACATGATAGCAGTGTTCCAATATTTCAGGGGCTGCCACAAAGAAGAGGGAGTCAAGCTATTCTCCAAAGCACCTGAGGGTAGAAGAAGAAGCAATGGGGGGAAACTAATCAAGGAAAGAAGCAACTTAGAACTAAAGAGAAATTTCCTGACAGTTAGAACAATTAATCAGTGGAACAACTTGCCTCCAGAAGTTGTGAGTACTCCAATACTGGAAGTTTTTAAGAAGATGTTAGATAACCATTTGTCTGAAGTGGTGTAGGGTTTCCTGCCTAAGTAGGAGATTGAACTAGAACCTCCAAGGTCCCTTCCAACTCTGTTATTCTATTCTAAATATTTTTTTTCCTGTTTCTTGTGTGTCACTGAGTGTTCACCTGGATTTTTGTAATCCAGAACTGGAAGTGATACTAAAACCTGTATCCCTGAAATATGCCACCAAATACCAATAAAATGTATTTATCTTTGGTGGGTCATTTAAATAAATCCCCACATATAATGGGAAGAAGCATCAATCAGCAATGACTATTGCTTCTTCTAATTGCTATTCTCTTGCTACAGTTTAGCAAAACCTGAGAACCTTGAGCTCCTTGAGCATTAACATTTATTTTTCTACTTTAATCACTAACTTAAAAATCAATATAAGCATGAGAGATGATAATCAGAATCTCTTCCGGACTATCCTTTTATTACAGTAGTATTTCATCAGATTGTTTTATTTTTTTCCCCCATACAGTCTTCTTTCTTACAAAGTGCACAAGTTCAAAAGCTAGATGTAGGTATCCAAGAATATTAAAAATGATGGGTAGTACATGTTTGGCCAGAGGCTAAGTTTGGTGAGGTAGAGAGGAAAAACAGCACCACTTCTCCTTTCACACACCTATTCCTAGGCAGAGATACCGGTAGTTTGATTCTTGCATTGGCAACTTCAGGATGAACTGTCAACTGTTGTAAGTAGGACTGCTCTTATGATTGACCTGGAAGCTACAAATAGCATGGAATAAAATAGGTAATGCAGCCTGGAGTTTCTTTTGATTGAGTATATACTATCACATTGGTATTCACTCTCAGAGTGAATATCGATTTTCTTAAAGATGATCTGTCCCTAACCTGATCTGCATTTATTAGATTTATGAAAGCCACTAAATTAGGTTCAGTGTTTTAATGTTGGCAGATAAAACCCCAAAACAATTACCTAAACCAACATTTTCAATTAGAGCAACCTCATAGATAAATAAATGATCTTTAGAGATGATCAGATCTTCCATGCTGTATTTTGCTGTTCCATGCTGATGCAGAGATGAACCTTCTTGGTGGTAGCAGTTGTCCTATGGAATAAACTCTTTTTTATGGTATGTCAGTTCTATGTATACAAGGCATCTCTTGAATCCTTACAGTAGCGTTCTCTACCAATTAATTTCCTCTAAAATTCCATTTCCATTCTGACTGATGAATTGATAGCCAACCTTGTTTGTTCATAAGCTCAAGGTAGTGAACATTATAGCAATAGCACTTGGACTTATATACCACTTCATAGTGCTTTATAGCCCTCTCTAAGTGGTTTACAGAGTCAGCATATTGCCGACCTCGGAAGGATAGAAGGATGAGTCAACCTTATGCTTTTTTCTCTTACTTTCTCCTACTTTTCCTTACAATAAAAACCCTGTCAGGTAGCTTGTGAAGTCACCCACATAGTGTGCTTTCATGGTTAAGGTTTCCCCACTCCAACACCAACACCTTATGTTGTTCTCTTAAGAGTTGGTTGGCATTGCCTGCTATTCTTTGGCTGTGACTGTGAAACCAAACCAAACCAAAACAAGCAGGTACATCCCTCAGTCAAAAGGCTAAGGAACTCAGTGTTACGATATGGGGAAACATTTTTGGAAGTTGCTTTAGTATGAAATTGATTGCAATCTGCCTTAATGATCATCTGATCAAGTTATGGAGGAGTAAATAATCTAAATAAAGTTGTGCACATAGGATACATTGCCCTAAAAAGGAAGATTAAAGATAAATATTCAAGCTTACTTTTGTCAGATGTTCTTGGCAAGTACAGTCTGGTATCAAAGCCACTGTAGATGCGTTGCCCTCCTTCCATTAGCACATATTCCTTCAGAAGCCCATTCAGTAGGAAGGTGTGACTCCAATCCAGGAAGATGGTGGATAAATTTCCGATTATGATGAACGGAGATTTGTACAGAGGAACTGGAAAGAAAAAACAGAACCATTAAGACAGTAAATACATTGATATCCAAATCATTAGCTACTGTTCTATGGATGTTTATATCTATTATTTTCAATTATTGTTATTATTGTTCAGTTTCAAGCAATGGATGATTATCAATTGAAATAAAAATGTTTCCAATGAAATAAACAAAAGTAATGGGTGTTCCGTTTCCAGACTGCTGTGTCCTTTTTGGGAGAGGATGACAGAGAAAAGGCTGAGCTATTTTATGACTCACTTATGAAAAGGCAAAAACTTTTGTGAAAAAAATTAACTTGTCTATATGGGAATGCTGCAATTGAAGAACAGGACAGACTTATAAATTGTGATAACGAGCACTTTAAATACTGCACTTCATATACTTGCACTTAACAATTCTTACCTTTCTTGATTATCAGGAAGACAACTCTTTCTTTCAATAAAACCTCAACTGAAATCACAAACTTCCTTGTTTTCTGTGGGACTCTTTTGTTAATACTTAATTTTTAATTAATCAATGATCGCCAACTGGACATTTACATTTTAGAGGGGACTTCAGTGTTAATTATAAGAAAGAAGCTATCCAAATCATTAGCTACTGTTCTATGGATGTTTACATCTATTATTGTTCAGTCAGTAGTTTCAAGCAATGGATGATTATCAATTAAAATTAAAAAAAATGTTTCCAATGAAATAAACAAAATTCATGGGTGTTCCCATTCCAGACTGCTGTGTGTCCTTTCTGGGAGATGATGACATAGAAAAACAAAAGGCTAAGCAATGGTGTGAAAAAAATTATTACTGGGGCTGAGCAATGATGTTAAAAAGTATTCCCAAACTAGATCCCTCCCATAAAGATGATACTATAACATAAGGCATTTTAGTTGACATCCTTAATCCCAAGAATTCTATCTACTTTTATTCTGTGTTGCTTTATCTTTGTCCCTATCTGTTTCTACTTCTATAGTTATCCCAGTGTTTCTCAATCACAAATATATGTGGACTTCAATTCCCAGAATTCTGGGAATTGCCAAGGATGATTAACTCATCTATCCACTTTTATTCCATGGTTGCTGTTGTTTGTTTGTTTTTTTGGAACTCTTCAACTCCCCCACCTGCCTTTCCCCCTCATCGTCATTCCTATGGTCCCGGGAATGTATCTTTCTTCTTCTACTTCTTCCCTTCTTCTTGAAGTCTGCAGGTGCTGTTTGGTTTTTTGTTTCATTCACATTTGGTGGCTGTTCCTCAGAGGCATCATTCAAGACTTCCTCCTGTAAAATTCTCCACCTGGCCTACCTCTGACGTCTGTATTGTGTTTCAGGGTTGCTGGACTCAGTTACAGCACCACAGACATTATTGTGGCTGTTGGCACAATAACTGCTATTGTGCACCTTCTAACTGCTCTCACTGAGTTGGTCCTTGATTGTCAGTTGTTCTCATCTGGAACTGCTGTTGCTTCAGCTCCAGTGCATTCAGTTCTTTTGGGCCTGCTCCTTTCCTATCTATTTTCCTACCTACCTTCTTGTTCTGTCCTGTTTCTTCCTTTTTCCACCATTGCTACACTTCCTCTTTAGTCAAGCCCTCTTTTTTTTAAAGAGCCAGCACTCCAAATAAGGCATGGGCAAAAGAAGGAGAGCTTATATGTCCTTTCTCTCACATTCCTCCTCAGGTTTTTCCCCAAATCATTAAAATGTCTAACAAACACTCTTAATAAGAGTAAACTAATTGAGTCTGAAAAGGATTGAACTTTGACTACAGTTTCAGTAACTGGGACTATTACATAAATGTGACAGGAAAGTAAAATAGTTAACTTCAATAGTAATAAATACATACTTTTTCATAATTAATAAATATTTTTAAAATGTCATGATAGTGATGGTCTTTCTACTCTTATCAGGCTTTCTATACTTCTTAGGAAATATATTTTTCTACATTTTTAGAATGCTTTCCTCTCAAAGCATTTATTACAAAGGTAAATGAGCTCACAATATTACAATATGATACACTGTACCATTCACTTAACCAATTGTCTAATTCATCACTGCACAAGCAAAAAGCATACAAAAGGAAAATAAGAACTTTCCCCTGAGTTTGTGCTAAACAAAGAAGAAAAAGGATCAAGAAGTGACCTTGTTTTTTAAATATGTTCAGAATCCGCCAAAGAAAGCGAAAAAATAGACCATCTGAGCATCTTGCAACAAAATTTTTAATTATTATTGGAAAAAACTTTTATTGGTTGAAGTTTAACACAGAATAAAATTATAGGACATTGGCTAAAAAGAAACTTAGTTGGGTGATATAATCCTATTTCAACTGCTTTTGTTTAATTTTATTTCTAACATTGGGAAAATATGCTCCAACAATAGCAAAAGTCTTCTGATTTCACAATCCTTTAACATACCACAAAAGTTGCACAATCTTGAAACTATGTAAGCAGCTAAAGGTTTTGGCAAATGTACTTAATTTTTCAATTTCACATTTTTACTCACTTTTAATTTTTGCAAGGAACAAGAAAATCCATTTACTATAAACTGCAGAAATAGTAAGACTAAATTATGAAAACTTATAAATTGGGCATTTTCAGCATCTGTCCATGTTTTAAAAAGCTACCAAGAAATTAATGGTATTTAATTTAATATAATTAATTTAATATAATTAAAATAATTTAATATAATTAAATTAATATAATTTAATATAATTAATAGTAGAAATTAATGGTATTTTTGAAAACCCAGTTAACAAAAATCCTTTTAAAAGAAAAACAGATGGAGGTTTTTCTTGCTATATAGGATACCAGTTACATAGCCTCTTTGACCATTCTAAGAATTTCAGGTTCAGCCCTTAATGGTTATGACTGGAAAAAAACACTCCTAAAAGTGATGGAAATCAAATGCAAATCCTTATTTTGGTCTGTACAAACTCACCCTCTTTTTCAGTAGTAAAAGTAATCCATTCTGAAGTAGTGCTTCCAACTGAATTGTACGACACCACTCTCAGTTTGTAGGTTGTATAAGGCTGAAGGTCACTCACACTGGAATGCCGGTTCTTTCCACTATAGCTCACTTCGATAGGTCCAGGCTTACAAACTCTTTCTATGGGCAGTAACCAAGGAAGACAAAATGTGTACATGTGGAGTTCATATCTGTAAGAAAAGAAATCAGCATTAATAATAAACACATCACTTGGGTTTGCATATGGCTTTCAACTATAATATGGCTTGTTTCTGGCTTAGGTGATGAGCAATCCATTCACATTATGATGTATATGTATACCAAGGCAATTTAGCTTACTAAATTATCAAATGATTTATGATTTGCTTAGCAAATCATAGCTAAGCAAACCGTAAATTATCACAATATGTGAAGTCAATCCTTTCTGGCAATTGTGAGTTTATCCTTCCCAATATCAAATGCTGATTAAACTGAAAGGTTGACATCCAATTTAATTGCTTTAGAGTTCTATATATCCCATTCATTCTACTTATGTGCCTGTGCATGATTTTTTTTATAGGAAAATGGTATATCATTATTTTAGTAAAGCAGTGGAGTAATATTTTCAATAATTAGGGATGAATAAAGATAATTCCCATTGCCTAGACTTCACAGTTATATTTTCAGAATCAGTATCAAATTGTAATTCATACTATATTTCAAAAGTCTAGCCATAAATACATGTTAGATATTTAGATTCTACTAAATATTTTCCCCAAATTATGAATGTAAAAATAAGACTTAATCTAACTTTTGTGCTTTTAAGGCATTAATTTTAATCCACAATTTGCCTTTAAAATTCTGTTTTACATTTATGAAGTGATTGAAGAAGGGAAGAATCTATTTAGCCATGGACTCACTGATAAACCAACAAGTTACTGTTATTCTTCTAGGTATGTTTTGGAAAAAATGATCTCAATTCAGTAAATATGATGTCAAGTTTCCAAGTGATGAAACCCATTCAAAAAAGAAATAGGCAAATCTTTCAAAACAAATTCATTTTATTTAGGTAGGCATCAAATTGGCAAAGACTGTTGCAATTCCGGATCTGACACAAACCGGAATTACACCACATAATATTGAAAATTAGAAACATCCCACTAAAGTCACATTCCCCAATAAAAGCAAAATCAACATTGTCCAATGTCATCAAACTCCTTCTTTAGCTCTCAGCAAGGACAGCTTCCATTTCCATGGGAAAAACAATGGAAAACACTAGCAAACTAGCCAAAACAATGCTCACTATCTATTCCTTCCTCCCATCTTAAGAACGTGGGACCCCCCAAAAAACCCTTACAAAACAGAGAGAAAGAAAATGAATATAATATAAACCTAACTAAAATGGCTATACATATGTTAATTTCGGGTTAGACACATGGCTATCTGTATAGAATCTGATGAAAAGCTGAAAACTAAATAGCTAGTTAGTGTTGGATTAAGGAATTTAATACAGTTAAACACAGGGGATCACCTTTTTGAACATATAGCTAGTTTGTCTAGTGGTCAAGATGCCAAGCTAGAATCCAGGAAACTGATTTCTATTCTCACCTTAGCCATGAAAACCAGCTGGATGATTTTGGGCCAGTTGCTCTCTTTCAGCCAAACCCAACTTACAGGGTTGTTGTTGTTGTGGGAAAATAGGAGGAAGAAGAGCATAAGGTATGTTCATTACTTTGAGTTACTTATAAAATAATGAAGGTGGGATAAAAAAAATCTAAACAGATGTCCCAATTTTTTTTTAGTTCTATAATGATTATTACATATGTTATCAAATTAGTTTTGTACATCAAAACTATTTCATGAATAAGTAAAGTGCAGAGAAGGAAAGGGGTTATACACAAATCAGAGATGGGTTTCAGCAGGTTCTGACCAGTTCTGGAGAACTGGTAGAAGAAATTTTGAGTAGTTCAGAGAACCAGTAGTAAAAATTCTGACTGGCCCCACCTCCATCTATTCTCTGCCTCCCAAGCTGATCGGGAGGAAATGGGGATTTTGCAGTAACCTTCCCCTGGAGTGGGGTGGGAATGGAGATTTTACAGTATCCTTTCCCTGCCACGTCCACCAAGCCGTGCCAAGTCATGCCATGCCCACCAAGCCACACCCACAGAACCGATAGTAAAAAAATTTGAAACCCACCACTGACACAAATACACAACTTGCTTGGTGAAGGAAGAGAAAGAAAGACACAGAAGAATTGAAAGAAGTGAAGGAAAGGATAGTGAGCATTACTAAAGCAATAGGTAGGTGTGAGTTCCCAACTATAGCTGATTATATCTGAGCAGTTACCTTCTCACAATGCCATTGGGTTCCTGAGGAGCATCCCACAGAAAAGAAGCATTTCTTGAAGTCAGGTTCTGTATATGGGGAGAAGGCTGCTGGGTGGGTGGAGCTGGCTGTGTGGTGACTTGAGCCATCGGTCCCTGGCTGCAGCAGTTGAAGCATGTGCAAGCTTCAACCCCAATAGAATAAGTGGTAAAAGGTTTGAGTCCATGGATCGTCTGCTGAGCAGTTGTTCCTTCTGAGAGCTGAAAATGACAGAACAAAAGCAGAAGTAGACACTGACAGGCAAGTAGCCATGTACTGCACAATGCTCAGCTGGACAAACTATATATTTGTTCATTTGATTTTTATCTGTCTGCTTTTTTTACAACTCAAAAAGGTGTATTTGATGTTCCCTCTTTCTATTTTCCAAACAACAATAACACTAAACTTATGAAGTAGGCTGGGCTAAGAGACTGGCTCAAAGACCCTCAGCCAGCTTTCCTGCCAAGCCGAAGACTAAAACTCATAGCCTCCTAAATTTTAGTCCAATATCTCAACCACAAGATTCTGCTGTGTTCTGACCTAATCCTAGATAGTTTTAGACCAAGAAAAGGCATTCCTAAGAAGCAGTGACTAAGCCCGACCCTGAACAGTAATACCCAAACTGATGGACATGGTTGGTAATCAATAGTACTTCCACTTTTTTTTCATCCCCAAAACTGCATATATTTTGACAAATCCTATAATCCTTCTTCCCTCACCAGAGCCCTTTTTGAAGGAAAAGTTGATTTCATTTATTTTCTAATTTCACATCAGTAATAGTTAAAATCTAGACTGAGATATGCAATACCTTTATTCTATGCAATCAAGAGGAATATTGAGGACAATCCAATAATAATAATAATAATAATAATAATAATAATAATAATAACAACAACAACAACAACAACAACAACAACAACAACAACAACAATAATAGAAAATGAGACAGTAAAGATCTTGTGGGACTTTCGCTGCAGCGACCCGTATCAACCATTAGCACCAGTCAATGGTATTTATGATACATTTTGAAATGTTAGTTGAGTGAATTTCATGTTTAATGATTAAAAGAGATAACAACAACAACAACCATTGCCACAAATTTCATCAACTCAAAATATTTTGATTAATACTTACCACTTTCTCCTTTCCTTTGGTGGTGTTGGAGAAGAACCTGTAGAGGGTGATTATTCCATTTGGCTTTAGAGGAGGACGGATGTTGACTACAGCAGAAGTAGAAGCTACTGTTTCAAACAAAGGGGCAGGAAGTCCTTGAGGAGGGGCTGGGCCAGTCTTACATTTTGTCCAATTGCTAGCAGTTCGGCCAGCAGAATTAATTGACCAAACCTGAAAAACAAGTGTTCATAACAGACCTAAAACATCCTTCTGGGAAAAAAATCCATATTATCATTTCTGCTTTTGTTTATTTAACTAAACTGTCCAGAGCCCCTCTATGAGAAGGATGGGTGATTAAGAAGTTTTATATAAAAACAAAAAATAACAGAGAATGCTTCAGAACAAACTGAATTTGGGAAATGTTTTTGTAGTCTGCATCCATATTTATTTGACTACCATGTTTTCCCCAAAATAAGACCCAACCAGAAAATAAGCCTTAGCATGATTTTTCAGGATGCTCTTAATATAAGCCGTAGCCCCGCAAAATAAGCCCCAGTTAAGATCATCAGCCAGAGGGATGCATTTAGTACTCTATTTCCCCAAAACTGGAAAATAAGCCCTAACGCATCTTTTGGAGCAAAAATTAATATAAGACCCGATCTTATTTTGGGGAAAACATGGGTATTTATTTATTGTCTTTTCATCTCTGGTGAGCTTCAGGTGTCATCTATGGCCAAGAGTTTTTCCCCAGGTCCATCTTGTGCACCAGATGCATCTCTTCCTGGATCAGGAGGTCTTTCTGATAGTACCACATTTCTTACTCACTCCATGGCTCAACTACTGCAATACACTCTATATGGGGATGCCCTTGAAAACAATTCAGAAGCTTCCATTTCTGAATCAGTGGTGGAACACAGTGGTGCAGGCAGTGATGGCCAAGCCTCAGTCTGCCCATGTAACAATTCTTCTTTGTGAGCTGCACTGGTTGATAGTTTTTTTCTGGATGCAATTCAAGGTGCTGTTATGAGCTATAATCCAGGTAGAGGAAAGGTTGTTTGAAGCTACTTACATGCTGCAGATACTGTATACTAAACTTAGGTTTCAGTAAGGCATTTGATAAAATAGACCACATCCTACTTTTTGATAAGATAGAGGATATTGTCTATCCCATATTGTTTTATCAGATGGATTTGCTGATCAACTTCACTCAGCATGTGGTTCTTAATGAAACTACATCTACCCGGAGGGAAATATGTAGTGTGGTTCCTCAAGGTTCTGTTTTGGGTACAATGACCTTCAACATCTTCATAAATGATCTAAATGAGGGGATTGAAGGGGTGCTCAGTAAATTTGAGGATGATACAAAACTGGGGGGAATTGCTAACACTTTGGAAGATAGACTTAAAATTTAGAAGGATCTTGACAGACGTGAGCATTGGGTCCTATCCAACAAGATACAGTTCAGTGGTAAGAAAAGTAAGTAAGGTCCTGGACTTAGGCAGGAAAAGCCAAATACATAGGTACAAAATAGGTGGCAGCTTTCAACAGTTGTAACTGTGAGAGAGATCTAGATGTCCTTAAAAATGAGTCAGCAGCATGCCACAGCTGCCAACTAAGCCAATGCAATTCCGGGCAGCATCAACAAAGGGATAGTATCAAGATCATAGGAAGTGATAATACCATTCTGATGATACCATGTTTGGAATATTGCATCCAGTTCTGGTCACCATAATACAAAAAAGATGCTGGAGTCCTAGGAGGAGTTCATGGAAGAGCAACAAAGATAATAAAAGTTCTGGAGACTAAATATATGAAGAACGGCTAAAGAAACTGATTATGTTTAGCTTAACAAAGAGAAGCCTGAGAGGAAACATGATATAGCAGTCATCCAATACTTGAAGGGCTGCCAAAAGAAACTGGAAGCTCTCTTTTAAAATTATTATTATATTCAAATATTAACAACATTGGTAAGTATGATTTTATATTTTCACTGTAAACTAATGGTTCGGTAGCCAATGGACTAGAAAATTAAATAAAATCAAAACAAAAGTAAGTTTATTTAAGGATTGTACAATTTTAAAGGATCGTCATACATGTCAACATTTCATTAAGATTTCACATGAACAACTTTCAGGACTGACTTTCTATCTGAGTAAACGCTACCACAGTATGCTTGATATTACCTTAGAATCATAGAGTTAGAGGATTGAAGGGACCTTGAAGATTTTCTAGTCCAGCTTCTGCCCAGTGGAGGAATTCTCATACTATTCTGGACAAATGACTGGTCCTGAGATCCTCAAATTTTAGAGCATTCACAGAAGCCTAGAAGGCAGGCTGTGAGAGACTTAACAGCTCTCACAGTCATCAAGTCCAGCAATCTCTCATGTTCGTTCAATGTTCATTCAACTTACTGCTGAATTATTTAATGTTACACTGAGTAGCATGGAAAGGTTATAACATAGAAGTGCAGTAAACCTTCTAGCATTCCTGATCATTTTCATGAGGTCAGTCAGCTCAAGTCACAACCCTCCTTTAGTAGCATAACATATTCAGTCTAGAGTGCCTGCAGTAATAAAAAATCTATGGAGATCATAAGAGAACTGGAACTAGTTGTATGTGAAATGTTAAGGACCCTGGCCTGCACCCATGAATCAAATTTATCCATGTTATTAACATTTAAATATAATAAACATATAAATAATATGTGTTAAAAGCTTCATGAATATCAGTGTGTACTTAGCAAATCAATATATTCAGCCTACTCTTAGTATTTTGTTTATTCATCTTCAGCTGATTATACTGAACATGTAATAATTTGATTGCTGTAAGCTAAACTGATAATAAAGCAACAAATGTATTGCCTAAGATACAATCTTTACTAAGGTTTTGCAAGTATTTTATGATATTATCTTAATCAATGCACATAGGAAGGATTCCAAGATGTAATAGCTAAGAAAGTGTCTAGTTCAAAGCTCTTCTTTGGAGATGGCTTTGTTTTTGTCAGCTTCACAAAACCAGGGTGATCTGCACACTATATGAAACTCAGCAGTTATTAAACAAGACCTGCAACAAATCTGCATGAAAATTAAATTTTACTTTCATCAAGGAGAGAATAAACATATGGGAGGATGTTTAATCTTATTTATCAAAGACCATTTGTATAATTAAACACGAATATTATAAAAGGTTGACTGAGGTCATGATTTGCATGAGTAAGTAATTTGTAGAATGTCAGGTGCAATAGATGGAATAGATGGATGTGTGAATATATAGGGTTAAATTAGACTCAATAATAGTGAAACACACAGTGATCAATCAGAATGATAGATCTAAATGGCAATACAAGGGGACTGTCTGTGTGATTTTGAGTATTAAGTATTCCTTAGTAAGCTTTCATGTTGAGCAGTTCTAACTGTACTAAAACTTGCTCTTACACTATCTCCTAGTTTTCTGCTGTAAAATTTGAATTTATTCCAAGTTGCAAAGGAAGCCAAAGGTCCTAAATACTTTCATAAATGAAGATTTTTAACTATGTAATGGACCTTGTTACTGTGGATCTAGCTTCAACTGCAACCAAGAAGCCTCTAGTAGATCATTGGTGCTAGAAGATTCAAGAAAAGAAACCAATTTTAGTTTCCTCAGCTATGCAACTGATGCCTGAAAGACATATTTAAAGTATTCTGTTAAAGTCATAAGACTATTTAATTACAAGAAGATGGCCATCTTTTTTTAAAAAAAAATTTCAGGGATCATACTGTTTCTTTGGAATTGTTGACTCTTAAGTAAATTGTGTGACTTATACAGTATGCTTATACACTGTCTGAGACCGAAAGTAGAGTACAAGAAAATTAATTATATGTTGGAAGGAGGAGGAGGAAGAGGAGGAGGAATAATAATTGCAAAAGACAGCTTTCCTTTGAACAGTTTACATTCTAAGATGATATCTTTAATTTCATAAATCAAACATTTGTCTATCCCAGGTCCTTGGGAAGGATTCGATAGGTGGGTAAAAATGCCAAATCCAGTCTAAACATCTCGCTGGCTGTGTGATGAATCATAGTAATAATAGGACTCCCAGTGAGACATTACTTTGATATAGTAAAAGGTACCTTGGGGGCAACCCCAAAACAACTGGAGCATCATCTGAACTCCATCAGCATTGACAAAATCACTGTCACTGTAAAAGGCAGTTCCAGATCATGAGAACATACCATTGCAATATTAGCTAAGTTAAAGTTACTAAAAATGAAACCTTTTCATACAATTTCCAGACTCAGAAACAAAAGTGTAATATTCAAGTATCATACACAAACAATTATTAATATAAATTCAGAGGAATCAAATCATTCACCTTTCTAAACAATGGCATCAACTGGAACATTTATGGATGAAGGTGACATGGTAAACATGTCCACTGTATCCAAATTATTGTAGATTATCTTCTTGTGGTTAATGTCCCTCTATTTAAACAAGATTGCCTTGTAATTAAAACTTTCCATATTTCAGTATCTAATCCTGCTAAGTTTTTTGGATAAAAAAATAGAAAACTTTTGTCTGTCAGACAATAAAATCTGGTGGCTGAACTCTGGACATAAAAGCCGCACGAAAACAAACAAACAAACAAACACCTTAAAAAACAGTTTCTACAATTGGTTGATTTTGTGACAGAGGGATAAAAACACATATTTTTTTAAAAAAATAAAAAATAAATAAAAGCTTCAGACAACTTTGGTTCCTTTTAAATATTTCATTGCATCCATAACTAACATGGATGTTTACCTCCAAAAGACAGACAATTTAATAATTTGTTCCTATTGGTACATAATGAGATAGTTAAAACACTCCCAGGAGAGAGATAAGCAGATATTAAAAGGTCTTTCCAATACCTGCACTGACTAAGGGCAACAGTTAATTCAATAGATTCGATCAAAATCACTACTTCTTTCAGGCTGCTGATTTATTACTTTGGCTGTAGTTAGTCATCATTCATTTTAGTTTGCTTTTCAGAGCTCATAAATTATGCGGTATAAATAAAAAGATACAATCAAGGAAACCATATCAATTCACATTACAGCCAGGGGATGTATAGACTCCCATGGCACTCACAGTAATGTCTTTTTAAAAGACAGGCCTATCACTGTGTTCGGGTACGTCAGAAACAAACAACCCAAGAGGTCTTGCCCTAATGAAGAATTAGCAGGCTCATAACTACTGTATCTGTATGTATGAATTTATCATAATTAAACAGGGACTTTTATTTACTTAAGCAATTGTGCAAAGATTAATCACCAACTTCATTATTGTACAAAGCTTTGAAAAGGGTAAAGATAAACAAAAATGGGTGTTTTTGTTGAGATTTATTTTCTCCCATCTCTGCTTCTGCTTCTCTCTGATGTTTCATAGAGACCAGCCCTCACTAAGCTACACCAATTGGAAATCAACTTGACTAAAGATCAATTAGGAGTCAGCAAAGCATAAAGAGCTTTTATGAAATCCAGCAGGTTCTGACAGGTTCTGGAGAACTGATAGCGGAAATTTTGAGCAGTTTGGAGAACCAGTAGCAGAAATTTTGAATAGTTTGGAGAACCGGCAAATACCACCTCTGGCTGGCCCCAAAGTGGGGTGGGAATGGAGATTTTGCAGTATCCTTCCCCTGCTACATCCACCAAGTCACACCCACCAAGCCACGTCAAGCCCACCAAGCCACGCCCACAGAACCAGTAGTAAAAAAAATTGGATTTCACAACTGACCCCAGTCAATCCCTGTTCAGTTGCCTGTGATTTGCATAATACATCATCTTGCCTCTGAAGATACCAACCACCGTTGCCAGCAAAATATCGAAAATCTGTTGTTTTAGACCACTGTCATTAAACCCTGAAGCCAAACCCTGCCCATGAAGCTTCATATATCTGAATAAATAATGATAGTTTCATTTATTTCCTGAACTGAAATCCAATATAAAAACAATTCTGCAGAAACTCCCCCTCCCCCCAAAAATGCTCCATAAATCAGATGCCACCAATGAAAAGGCCCTGGTTTGGTAGACAGAAACCACAGCTCTGATGATTAGTATCTAAACTGAAACATTTTTTTTTAAAAAAATCAAAGCATATTGCATAGGATTTCAATTCATCTTTGTACTCTGTCACATTATAAAACTAAATTGTTGAACCCTTGAGCATGACCATTGATCTTTGTACCATAAGTGGATCTCTAGATTGCAATCGCTGATTGCAATCCTTTGTGCTTCTTTAGAAGATATCCCAGGTAGCCTTTGAATTTTAGGAGTTAAATTAAATTCTGAGAAAACCTGTGAGTTATTACAAGTGCATAAACAATATGTAGTTGATAAACCTTTGTCTCTTCTATCCAAAGAGGCTATTGGTATTATTTGAAAACAAAGTTCTGTGAAAGCTTGTCTCAGAGAATGGGATGTAAGACATTGTAAATAATATGACATTCCTTGCCCATCTTTAAAAAAATGATACTTAAGCTTACATACCTGTATCTTTGAGTGAAGAAAGAACAAATGATTCTCATTTATTTCATGGCCATTGTTCTTATTGCTACTATATGAGTTTTCCATGATAGCATTTCAGTAAACTCAATATCCAACACTTAAATGACCTCACTTGTTCTATCTCCTTACAATCTAGTGCCCATCTATGTCTCTTTGGTCTTTTAGTAGACACTGTCACCTTAGTTTTTGAATAATTTATCTGCAAGTATGATTTCCTGGAGTAAATGCCAAATTCTGTCAGGATTCCTTTCGTTCCAATTAATGTTGTTGAAATGACCACCATGTTGCCTGGTGTTTGGTCCATCTCTCCTTTCTAATCTGGGGTCTTTAGTGTGAAAAAAATTGTTCCATCCTAAAATCTTTCTCATGCTGCCCTAGATTGAAGGGTTTGTTAAAGCTTCAGAAATAAAAAGAAGAAAAGATACTATCATTTCCAACCTTAGTTGTATTGTTAATGTCAGAACCATCAAGCTAGACTCTGAAGACAGACAGCATTTTTTTTAAAGGCCTTCTTTTCATTTCAGGAAATTTACTTGCATTTAAAACTTTATAGCCAACAAACACGGCTCTGAGAGAGATGCAGAATAATCAATATGATACTTAATGAAAAATAAATCTGAGTTTCATCAAAAGTCAATTCCTACACTTATGAATTAGATGTCTCACAAGCAATATAAATATATTGTCAACAATAGTAAGTGTAAGAATAGCTCCCTGAGGGATGCTACATATGACATCTGTGAAAGAAGAATGCAGGCATACTTTTTTTCTTTCACATAGACACCTTCTCCATTTCAGGATAAAACTGATAATTGCTAACATATATGGCTTAGTGCGTCACTAACTAATTTCAAAGTAGCTATTAATAAAGACTTGATTAATAAAATAAGCAAAACAAAAATAAGTGAGCAATGGCTTACAGTTTATTTGAATTCTTATTCAGAGTTGCTGGTGGTTTCAGCTGAAATCTAACTTTATGGATGCCATACAATGCAATCAAACTGCATATTTCTGCATAACATGTGAACATGCATTTCCACGACCCTCCCCAATTACCGGCAAGTTCAGAATGTTTGATAGTCATTTTAGTAAAATCTAAATCTGAATTTGAAAAGAATGGGTTTAATTGCAATAAGAATTTGCAAGTAATTCGGAAGCAAAGTAGATTGTTGCACTTTTGCTTAAATCTAAATTTGAAAAATGTAAATCTCTTCTAAATATGGCCTTACTTTATTGTTCAATGTAACATTCGGGAACAGCTTTGTGCAAAATGATAGGTTGTCCTTGATACAGAGTGTTACAGCCCGGGTAAATGCTTTTAAAAGGAAGCATGCTAGAAGAAATATCCAGATTCCTATCATTTGAATAATTAAAACTAGAAGGCTGAATATATACTAATAACACTTTCCAAAGAAAACACATTATTATCTTAAAAGGTCAGAGATTGTCATAACTATTAGCCACAGTGTCAGAGATTAGGAAAAATAGGGCCAATTGGAAAATATGTAAATATCACTTAGCTCCCCTCAGTCAGCTTACAGTTTGCCAAGATTTCATAAAACTTCTGGTTTTGCTGCCTTCATGTGTTTGCTACAACTGCATAAAACCCATCAATTTAAGTATATATTCTCTCTCTCTCTCAGAGAGAGATTCCAGCCTCTAATGTGAATAATGAATTCCAGAAAGCATTCTAGCAGTTCTCTCATTGTTAACTTGTCGAAGCTCAAAGAAAATGGCATCAACAGAAATAGGAAATCAAATAATCGAAGAGCCATCCTCAGTGATGAAACACAGGCTTTCCCATGATGTCAAGCATTCCTCTGAAACTTGCCATGTGCAGCCATCTATATCTCACATGTAACTATGCAGAATCACAAGAGGCATCCAAAAGGTTTTGGTGAAAAAACATATCCAAGTTCCCAAAGTCCCAATTTATCCAGCTCAAAAGACACTAGGAATAATTAGTGAAATTAAGCAACCATTGCTGCCTCTTGGTTTTGACAAGTCTAAGAGGCCTCTGGATATGCTATATCACTCAGATAATATGCTAACTGAAGTACTCTTTATGGGGACTAAGTCAACCAACAAGAAAAGACAGAGAAATAGATACAAACTTCCTCCCTCCCCCAATTTGTATATGTCTAGACCCTGTGCAGAAAAGAGTTACATCTGCATCAGAACTGGAGTAGAAGGCACTCATATCCATTCAGCATCATGCCCCTGGGAATCTGTCAGCTTCGCTATATCACAAAACAAGCTCATGTATAAAGAGGAATTGCTATGCCATCTCGAAGCACTGTGATCCCTAACAGTTCTTAGACCATTGCTAAGATACTGTACATTAACCATTTGATCAAGAGAATTTCTCAGTGAGATGCCGAGAAATTTTCACAGTAATCTCTCATTTTCATACCTGATATTCATATTCGGTGAAAGGCAAGAGTGTGTCATCTTTAAATGAAGTGGATGAACCATTATAAACAAGGCTGACATTGTGTTGATTGGGTACCGGCTGTCTTCGATAAAGCTCATAATGTAAGATGTCTCCATTTGGTTGCTTTGGGCCATTCCATACAATGGAAAGAACAGTCTGAAATCCATCAGGACTTGACTGGACATCTATGAAAGGAGCTGGCTGTATTTCAGGGGGTGCTTCAAGAGTTTGTACGGATGACCATTCACTGTGAGTACAGCCCAGAAGACTGCAGGCTTGTACTTGTACTTCATACCTTTACAAACACAAACCAGAAATTAGGCAGTAGAATCTAGGCTTTGCACTATATATAAAGGTGACATAAAATGCATATGTTTGCAGACATTCAAACAAAGAATAAATGCATTTCTTTAAAAAGACTGGACTGTAATTTAAGATCTTTCGGTGAATAAGAATCTAATCACATTAATTGAAAATACTGGGATACTCTCATCTGGGCAGAAAAGAACACAACATTAAATTTGTTAGAAATATAAAATTTGATTGGCAAAGGCTAGCTATAAAAGAAAAAAACAACCCAATTGACTAAGTAAATTTAGTCAACAATTCTTACAATGGACTAACTAATATGCATGCACCTCCCAGCTTTTTCATGGATGCAGTGAGCTAATCATATGCCTTGGGAAATCAATTTATGCTCTAAAGTACAAGAATTCTCTCCTCATTTACTCATTACAGCATATGCTTACAACATACCTGTGATAGGGTTTTAGTTCTGTTAAATTGTAAGACCGTCTTCCAAAAGAATCGTGGAATGAATCCAGATAAATCACTTTCTTTTGTGATTTAATAGGCTCCCGAAGAATGATAGTATAATTGATCAGGTTACCATTAACCTTTGCTGGAGGATCCCAAATAACCAAAATTGTCTGTGAGGTCCATGGGTGCAACAGAGGTGGAGACATTCCAGATGGGGCAGAAGGATCGGTTCTTATCTTGGCTATCTGACTGGTGACACTCCCTTGGCTGTTGTTTGCAGTAACAGTATAGATGTATTCTATTCCGGGAGTTAACATGAAGTCCTTATAGTATCTATCTAGACCTGAATAGACCAGCAATCCATTCCTCCTTAGCTCATAAATCTGGATTTTACCATTTGGATTATTGGGCGCTTTCCATGTAATTTCTAGAGATTCTGAATCTGTCACTAGTAACTTAGGGGGATCTAAGTTAAGAGGAGGGGCTTCCATTGTCCAAGCAGACTGGGATGCACTAACAGTGCAGCCTCCATTGGTACATGCAACCAATTTGATGTCATATTTAGTATAAGGTTGTAGATTCACTACGGTCGTGAATAAACTCTTTCCAACATATTGTTCTTCACCATTCAGCTTTAAAATGTACTTTATGATTTCACCATTTTGAATTTGGGGTGGCGACCAAGATACATTAATCTGGGTGGAATGTATACCTTCTAGAGCAGGAGGGCTGACTATTGCTGGGGCTGCCTCTAAGGTCTGTATTCTGGAATGGTCACTTGAGCAGCACCCTCCCAGGGTACAAGCAGTTATTACATAATTGTACTCTGTATATGGAAGCAAGCCTTCATCAGTATAATTGAAGGTTGAAGCATCAAAGCTAAAAGGATAGGGAACATCATTTCTTTGGAGCTTATATGACAGCAGAACACCATTGCTTTTTTCTGGGAATGACCATGAAATCCATATTTTGCTGGGATTTTGAGGGATATAAGTTAACATGGGAGCAGCCATGCCTTCTGGGGAAGCTTGGCTGGTTTTTGCAGCAGACCAAGCACTATCAGTGTAGCCTGCTGAATTCCAGGCACGTATTTTATATTCATATGTAGTCCACGGCTGCAAATGCTGAGCATGATATACAAATGCATTACTCCCAGTGTTATATTCTGTGAAAACAATGTTCTCTTCTTCTGTTGTGCTATTTTCCCCTGAAGCATTTTCTTTGGTGTGTCTGTGAATAACTTCATAGCGCATTATTTTTCCATTTGAATTAATTGGCTCAGACCAGCTCAGTTCAATGCTGGTTGCATTCACCAAATGGATTACAGGAGCCATTTGAGAAGCAGGAGGAGCTGCATCTGTCCAAATTTGCTGCGGTGAAGAGCGAGTGCAACCAGCTGCTGTACAAGCTTCAAGAAGGAGAGTGTATTCAGTGAAGGGCTCAAGACGTCTGAAGAGGAACTGACGAGACAAACCACTATATTCTAGATTACCATCATTGAAAATATTATAAATCTGAAAGGAAAGACAATATCCATACATTAGCAGCAAGGCCATTAGTGGCCTCCTCAGGCAACTTTTTAAACCTATTACAACCCCCCAAATAGATATAATAACTTTTCATAGGCTCCATTGGCAGCCCATCCCTGCTGCTCTTTGGATATTGTAAAAACAGAGGGTTTATTAAAGTTCCAGCAGGCATAATAAAAAGCATGAAGAAAGTGTTCAGTTTGATGCTTAGCCTCCTTCCTACCTCTCTTTTCTTTGGGAAAAAAGTTTTACTCTGCTCACTTTTGTGCATATGTTATATGCAGGCACTGTTGAGCTAGTGTTAATTCCTGTAGTCTAGTTCTTTCTTGTCAACACTTTCAGATGTGGTTTGCCATTGCCTTCTTCCAAGGGCTGAGAGAGAGTGACTAACACCAAATCACCCAGATAGCTTTGTGCCTAAGGCAGGGCTACAACTTGGGTTTTCCCATTCAAGGGCCAGTAACCTTAAGTATTAGATTCAACAGGCTCAGAATGCTTATGTTATGTACTCAACATTATTTTAATACTGAAAACTGAAGGACTCACTGAGGAAAATCAAGATGTACATATCAATCAAAAGTTAACAGGCTAAGCATTAGATTTGGATTATTTTTGAGGATACTGGAAAGCTCAGTGTTTGACCTTTCAGATGAATCACTATCCTGTTGCTTAGAAGAAAGACATGAAAATGTCTTATATTGATGGTACTGAGAAGCTCTAAGAAGGATCCACTTAGCTCAGTCTGATTTAATTATGGATGGATAGATAGATTTTTAAATAAAGTCTTGATTTTTAAGTCAAGAAAAGGGCTGGGGTTAAGGTTTTACACGACCATTGTAAAGGAGTGTGAAAAATCTCTAAGATAAGGTGCGAAAAGCAATCACATATTTTCAATAAGTATTTTTTAAAAAGTATACTTTAACAATGTCCTCTTTATTTTAAAATGAAAGCCTCTAGTGAAAAGTGTAAAATAATACAATATCTCCTTCCTGACCAGCAGAGGGGAGAAGCAAAAAAACCCCACCCAAACACCAGCAGAAAATATCCTGGAGATGCTTTCCAGAACAGGACATATTCACCAGTGGTGGGTTTCAAAATTTTTTATTACCGGTTCTGTGGGCATGGCTTGGTGGACGTGGCATGGCTTGGTGGGCATGGCTTGGTGGGCATGGCTTGGTGGGCGTGGCAGGGGAAGGATACTATAAAATTTCCATTTCCTCCCGATCAGCTGGGCCTCAGGAGGCAGAGAATAGATGGGGACCGGGCCAGTCAGAATTTTTACTACCGGTTCTCCGAACTAAAAATTTCCGCTACCGGTTCTCCAGAACTGGTCAGAACCTGCTGAAACCCACCTCTGATATTCACGGATGTAAGGCTAACATATTTTATTATATCATAAGCCCACTTCACTTACTGTATAATAAAACTAAAACTGGTATGTCTTTAAATCCTACAGATGATTATTTTACCATAAGTGTAATGACTGGAAGTCTGTGGAAATTCTCAGTCATCCAGGTCATGGTTATCCCAAAGGTGCCTTGTCAAAAGGCAACTGAACTTTCTTTATTTTTCGTTGAAGATGTCTCACTAATCATCCAAGAAGCTTCTAGGATAAGAAGCAAAATGTCTCCAAGGAAAAACAAAGGAAGTCCAGTTGCCTTTGGGGTAATGAGTGGAGTTTATGGAAGGGGAGAGAGATGGTAAAGTGTCAAGCAAAAAGTAAGTTGTGAGTTTGTCAAAAAATGCCCAATAAAGCTGCTCACTATCAAGAAAAGACTGAGATCTTGCTTGTTTATTGAGTTATTACCTATCATCCCCCATCCTTAATAAATTCTAGGCAGTTACATATTCAAATAAAACAATAATAATAAATATTCCAGGATAACATTAATTCTAAACATTACAATAATTTTAAAACTATTCTCAGTATTGATGACTCAAGCCAATCTCTAAAACATCCCAGAAGAGCCACATTTTCACCAGTCTTGATGAAGTCCATGAAATCCCCTGCTTTTTGTAGCAAGTTACTCAATAGGCAAAGAATTCCCACAAAGAATTCCCACCATCAGGCCTCCTTCCACAGTACCCCCAAGTAAGTGAAGAATTCGGACAATCTAGATCAGGAAGGCCGAATTGATTTGGGAAAGGCAGCCTCTATATACAGCTTTAAAAGTAATGACTGGCACCCTGAATAACTCTTGAATTCACCTACAACCAGCAGCTCCTGCCGCAACAATGTGATAAGGCAGTACCACAACTGACCAGCTGCATTTTGTTTAGTTCAGCTGAAATTTCTGGGTAGTCTTCTAGAATAGACTCATTTAGAATAAATTACAGTGGTTCCTTGGTACTCAACTGCTTTGAAAGTCATTGAATTTGGTACTCAATGCATTTTGATATGAACATTTTATCCGATACTCATCATTTGTTGGGTACTCAAAGCACAAGCTAGAATTTGTCGGTGTCGACTGCCTTGTGATTCACTATTATTTCTTATAGGAAAAATTTGTTTGGCTCTCATCATTTTTGATACTCATTGCAACTCTTGGAACCAATTAATGAGGAGTAGAAAAGATGCCATTGTATAGTCTATCACTATATTATAAGTGAACTACAATTGAGAGTACTTATGGAGTTCTATATTAAAGGTTTGCAGTATTGCAAATTAAAACATTCATAATATACTAGAGCATTAATGGCTTTTACATCATGACTTTCTCCACAATGTTTCCGTTCCACCTTGATGAAATAAGATTTAATTACCTTAATGTTACCATTGGGCTTGGAAGGCTCTGCCCATCTGAGTAATAATGCCCTGCCATTCTCTTTCTTGTCCACTGTAAAGTTGCTTAGGCCACTTGGAGAAGCTTCTAGGGTGCGCACTGAAGTCCATGGACTAGCAACTTGTCCAGCATTATTGACAGCAGCAATATGAATGTAGTAGGTTGTATATGGCTCCAAACCAAACAAGTAAGTTTGATACATCTCTCCCTGTAGATGAAAGAGACAAATTTGTGAGTTTTGTATGTGATTTGCCTGAAGACTGAGCATTTACAAAAAATATCTTACACTATCAACTAGATATATAAAAGAGTTTTTGTGGAAGTAATTTTTACAAGATCGATTACAATGTACTCTCATAAACATGTACAGTGATATTGAATGGACTCCACTAATGTCTGTAGGTCTTGGGTCAAAAATGCACTTTTTTGTCATAACAAAAAAGCCCTTCTGTTTTACTATTCTCTCCCACCATCCATGCTACGTAATTTTTCTCTTCTCCCATTACAGTCTATGCTTCCTGGATTTTTTTTTTTTAATATGAAGCAGTGTATCTTCATCATCAGTAACCCCCAAAATTGAAATGTAAACATTTAAAAGCTGACTAAAAATGGTTAAAATACTATTCAACTCCACTGGGAGATCTAAAGAATCAGGTTAGGGACAGATCATTGATCACTGACAAATGAAATTGATCCATGTGGTTGCTAAGAGTTAACACCAACTTGACGACACATTATCAGTCAATCAATTATTAGACCGACTTAAATGACTTGGCTGAAGAAGAAGGTCTCACTTTCTTTTCAGATTGCAGATTATATGGTACAGTTCCCAAGGAAGTGAGAGAAGGCCCTCTTTTGCAAACCTAAGAGATGAACTCAGTGGTGGGATTCAACTGGTGTAACAACCAGTTTACTTCATGCGTGCTTCATGCACACATACTCTCTTTGCTTGCATGCATGCCAATCACATGCTGCGCGCATGTGTACAGTCCATTTCAAAACACCATTAAAAGTTACCTTCCACTAGCCCCAGTGAGTGAAACAACTGAGGTGTGGCAATCCGCTTTGCCGCACTGATCAACTGGGCTTCAAACAAATGAAATATAGGTAGATATATCGCAAGGGTGGATGGGCAGGCCCAGCTGGTGGTCGGAGCAAACCGGTTCGCTCTCAGCTGATCATCAGAGCCCGAACTGGACCAAATAGGCTGAATCTCACCCCTGGATGGATCTCTGAAAGTCCAGGCCAGATGTGTTCAGTATTTGAAACCAAAGTGAGTAAGGATGCTTTGAATCCTGTATGAGCAGCCTCACTATACCTCTTTGCAGCTCCTTAAAGGAAGCATGCCTTTTCTAGGGTGCATTTGGCAACTGGGTAGGCTCATGGACATACATGTTTGAGTTACTACTTGGGGACATTTAGCAAAGAGTCTCCTGACATTTTTAATGTCCATTCAAAACTGATTCTGGCACATTTCTACTGAAAGAAAATATCTCAGCTGTTTCATAATATTTGCATTTAGAATTCTTTACACACCTTTCCCTTTGATGGTGATTAGATACATCCCCTTATGATTAGTTCATTAAAAAAAAGAAGACTCAATTTCTTGGTTTTAGTGAAGTAGCTAAAAGCCACACTTCCAAGCTGCTAAATATTTAAATATCTGGTAAGCGGCAAGATGAAAAAATAATCTCTTTTTTGCAGAAAAATAATCTTTTTTTAAATATTAAAAGTTACATAATAAATATTTAATAGTTATTTTCCCACAACAATGAGTTTCCCTTTTTAGATAAATATCACATAGCATTTGAATGTCCATTTTGAATATTAAAGCTCAAAACCCACCATGACTGATTACAAATATACTTTTCAATGACAATTATTCGTTACCCCTCCCTCGTTGAAGAAGGTAAGCCCCTGTGAGAATAATAATGATGGATGCAAGGGGGTGCGGTAGCTAAATAGGAATTTTTGCTTTTCATTTATTGCAAAGATGAGTAAAAAGTCCTAAGCTAAAAGACTTAAATTTGTGAAAAGCACTCCATCAATTAGATGCAGATATCAATGGACTTTTGTTTAAATTCATCCCATTCACATTTATTCAAAAGACCTACTAAGTTCGGTAAAGTTTAGAGAGAACTGTGTAGTTCTCCTTTACTGCAATCCTAGAGTGCTCCCGGGGAAGACTTTTCTAGTGAGATTTACAGATTTTATTTTTATTATTATTATCTAGGGAGAAGATCCCAATCTAAGATCTAGGGACAAGGCTGCTTTTCTTTTGTTACTGCTCAATTTATTTTTATTTTCTTCAAAATTCACTGTACTGAAAATCATGGAAGAGTTGTTATTATTATAAACCAGGAAATTCAAATTAAAACCTAAAACAAAATTTGTTTTTTCCAAGTGCTGCCTTTGCTTGTCTCTTTGGAGAAACAGTGCTGAAGCCACTTCTGATTTCCAATGAAGAGGAAAAAATGGAAGTGCTGCAGGTCCCAAGCCTGCGGTCTAAAAACAGTGAAAGGAAAATTCAAAAGGCAAGTTTTAAATTAATTAGTAAAAGCAAGCTGGAAAATCTCCAGCTAGATCGTTAAACTGACCAAAGAAAAACAAAGGCTTAAAAGTCCCCTTGTGACTATATCTACTCAGAATGCTGAAATCTACTTAGCTCGTAATTTATACAGTACATGTAAACACTATTAAAAATTCTTATATCTGTTTGTTTCTAACCTTCAATTGGGCAAAACTGGAACGTATAGGGCAACAATTATTTGAATCAGGGGAATTCAATGGGTTAATTTATAGAATGCGGGACCCATCATTCTGGTGAGAATGAAATTTGGGGAAATTGTAGTTGCTTCAGCACCATTGTGTCTTTTGACTCTACTTCCCAAAACCTTTACACTGTGAGTTGCAAGGGAAGTATTTGCATCTCAAAACTGTATGCAGTCCACTATGTTCTGTCCACAGGTCCCTGAAGCAGGACAGTGAATAGAAAATGTGGAGATCCTTGGTGTAGGGAAGCAGAGTAATTTGAGTGATGTGACTGTTGTAGGTTCTCTGATATTGGCAGGAACATCTGGCTAATCAGATTTATTATCTATTTATTATCTATTTATATCATGAAGATCTCTGCCTAGCAGTATCTCTCCAAAGTGGCAAGTTTAGCACTTGGGCTTCATTCATTTTCTTCTCTCTTTCTTTACTGTAGCCATGCACATGGAATAACTTCTTTGTTGGTCTTGCAAACACATTGGGATTGGGATGCACAGCTCAGCTCTCAATTTAGGGGCTCAAGGCCCACTCTCTTTGCTTCACACTTTACTTTGATGTTCAGGGACTAGGACTGAGGATGACTGAATGGATTCCAAGGCAACACTCAGAGGTGCTGGCCTAAACATTTACTACTTGTTGAAAATGGGTCTGGCAAAACTAAAACTCCTCTTGTTTTCTGAAGCTTGCCTCTCTCTGTCCATTGCATCTCACTATGCCAGCCTCTGTCTGCTGTTTCTGCTAATATAGGTTGTCCTCACTGGACCATGGGATGCTGAGACATCATAATGACAGGCTGGGCACCAATTGCCCAGATCACAATCACGTGATTGCATGGATGCTGCAACCAACAGAAGTGCAACTACCACTCATACAGTGCCGTTGTAAGGTTTAACAGCCATGGAGCAAGTAGTTGTTAAAGGAGGACTTATATACCTAAGACACAGTTCTGTACTCTGGCAGTGATGACAGGTCGGTCCTTCAAAGAAACCAAAGCTGCCAACAGCTGTACTAACACTTCTGACATCTCAAAGCCAGTGCTCTCCTTTCCTATCTTTGCATTAAAAAGGCATTGCAGCGAAATCCTTGAGCATTTCAAATAGTACTTGGCAGGATCAATAGTTTCCAAAGGATCTATCAGATGTGATGTCTTCATCACATGGAGCCAAAAATGACTGTCTTCATTCTGGTGCCTCCTCATTATAGTTTATAGACAGATTTTTTTTAAAAAAATCTAATCCTAATTTTAGCTTGGATCAGACTGTTGTGCCCTTGAATTGCAAACTCAAATCAAATAAATCTTTCTTCAAATCCTGAAGATGATTCAAATTAGATGTGATTTGCATAGCAGCCACAGCATGATTCTCGGTAATAGAGATTACTAATAACTAATAGACATGTAAAACAAAGTGCTACAATACTACAGGTTATTACATTTTCCTTCTGACAGGGGACATAGTTTTAAAAAGTCCTTCATGATTAGTTAAAAACTCAGGGATCTGAACAGATTAAGAGACTAAAGAAATTAACTCAAACACACACACACATATACTGTAAATGCTTATTTAGCTATATCTTTTCTCATAAAAAGCCTGGGAAGCGTGTGTGCTTTAAAGAAAAAAACATACGCATATTGTCAATAGTAGCACCTGTTCAATTACAGTTTATTTCAGTATGGAGAATCCAGTTTAGCCCCCTAGATGGCAATACTATCAAACAGTTTTTATACCATGAGTACTTAATGATTAACAACCAGCGTTCAGTCATCCAACATACTCAAGGCAGCCATTAAAAAAATAACAAAAATGATATCATTATAGATTCTTTTAATAAACATTTATGGCTTAGATCCTTGAAAGTGGAAGCATTCAAACTGCCATAGCCAAAGGGAACTTGTAGAACCCAATGCAAAATTATGGACTGTGGGTTAAAATACAGAGTTCAATTTGAAGTTCATGCTTGGCATAATAACCTGGCATCAGAAATTATGCTGGCACAAAACACTATTAAAATTAGCTTTACAATCAGATGCAGACTATATTAACAGCATGTTATGAAAAGAGTTATCTATTAGGCTTCAGCAACTGAACTTTTAAAAGCCTACAATCTACAATTTGCATCTTAAGATTTAATGGGAGAAATGGAATGAGCACATGAAGTTAAATGATTCTTTCTGATCAAAAATTAAGAGCTTTGGTTACAGAACAACAGAAAAGTATACTGTATATACCACATATAAAGCTCATGGTTCATTGTAGATATTTATGCATATGAATATATGCTTATGAAATAAACATGTAATATAAAGAGGTTAATTTTAGAGAATGAACAATTGCCATTCTTGCTATAATAATCTAAAGAATATCTACATAACTTCAAGATAGCTTAGGAAAACTTTGTTGAGTCTACTGGAGAGGTTAAAAAAAAGCCTCAAAAGAC